TATACGCCACTGTAAAATCATCGCCGAGTCCGTAGTTAGGTACACCGAATTTGTTTACGTTTTTTTTTCCTGTCGTCGGTTCTTGAGCTAAACGTTCGAATACCAGTTTTATTTGACTAAATTATTCCGATTTCGATTTTATTTAATAGAAATAACAATTGATTTTAGATTTTCGTTAAAAATATTTTGATTTACAGATAAATTATTTAGTTTTGATTTTATTAACATTGGAAATTAGTTTTGGTTATTAGGAAGTAAAATTTTGTTTCTATTTTATTAATTACTTATTTTTTATTGCGACCGTGGATTGTGTTTCTATTTCAGAGTAATAGTAAACCTAATTTCAATTTAAATTCCGTATACAGTTAATTACTTAATTTTCATTGCGACCGTGGATTTTTTTTTAAGTAATAATAAATTTAAATTTAAATTAAATTCCGTATATAGTTAATTACTTAACTTTTACTACGACCGTAAATTTTGTTTCTATTTGTTCACAATCTGGTTTAACTTTTTTTTATTATTACTTGGGAATAGAATTAGTTCGAAAGTTGAAATAGTATCATTTTTCATGTTGAGTGGACTGGTTTTGGCAAGAAAGCTCACATGGGATTAGATACTATCCAGGTTTTAGATTTTTTAGATTAACCCCTAGCCGTGATTAAAATATTAGTGTTTTTCTTATGTTTGAGAGTGCTGGTTTTGACGAGTACACTCATCATAGGATAAATACTGATCCGGTTTAATATTTTGTTTTATGTTTGAGTGGGCTGGTTTTGGCGAGTATACTTCTCATAGGATTGATACTATCCCGTTTTCTTATCATTTATCTATTCCCTATTCAATAACACAAGGAGGTTTGTTTCAGTTTCAATACCGACTAGATAGTTAACCAGATAACTTTTTCATACGACCGTGATTTTATTTCTACTTTTACGAAACAAAATATTTAACTTCAATTTTTTTTTACCGATTTAACAGTTAACTAGCTAACTTTTGCTACGACCGCAATTATTTGCCATTTTTCTTCTTTAACTAAAATAGTAATTTTGTTTTTGATTTCGTTTTGGCTCAACCACCGAACCGACAATTTATTAATTAGTTACCGAACATCTTTCTTCTAAATTTTAATTATACCGTCTGATTGAGACTAATCAAAGCCGGTCTGTTTGTTTTTCTTTTTGTTCAGGGTTTTAAAAATACGAGCGGGGGTGGGCGTTGAAATATTTATTTATTTTTTTTGTTGTAAATAGTTAAATTCAATATATGTGTCAACGTTACCTTGACTGTTACTGAGGTTACTGATCCCTAATTTACTTCCCCCTTTATTTCAGCAGTGAGAAATTCTTTATCACCACAAGTCACGATTAAAGCCCGTTACTTGTGGTTACTTATTACCTGTGTCTGAGTGACCAACGACCCCTGGAATTTTTCATCTCCATCTGTGCTGCCCGAGTACTTTCGACGCCGTTTCGAAAGTTTGTGGAGTAAACCACACATAAAATCTGGCGCCCGAGAGCCGTCCCGTCAACAGGCGTCATTTGTAAGTAATCGTTTTCTCTGAGGCGAGAAAACCCCTTACAGTATTCTAACTAACGTTTTATATCAACTTAGAAGTTTTAATGAAAATTAACCGATAAAAGTCTCAAATCAAATCACATTCTAATTTTTTGTAAATCGTTTTGCAAAATAATACCGTATCTCCGGCCAAACTTATATCTGTATTTGTAACGTGTGGAAGGTGGGTTAATTTTGTGTATCCTCCTAAGTTGATAGGCATCTCCTGGCTTGTGAGCCATCCTACAAATTTAATGTAGTTGATAACGTCACCAAGAGATGCTTATATCTGCCGGTGTTAGCCAATTCTCGCGGATCACAAATCTTCTATTAAATGAGAGCGTCGGGAAATCGTAAAGGATATGTTCGATGGTCATCATCTTGTTTGCACCTCCTGCTGAGTGCAGGTTCTAAAAGCTCCATGGACTGGAGATGCTTCCGTACTTGGAAATGATCAGTCAAAATGCTTACATCAGGCGCAGATTCTGTCTAATCATAGTCAAGTATTTGTTTTCTGTAGTATTGTCAAGATAACTTAAAGGCTCCCCGGCAACTCTGCAGCTTCTTGTCCCATCTTTCCTTGAATTTCACAAGGGAATGTTCTTTAATTAGGTTTGTCACTACCGAAGTTGTCAGTCCAATAGAAGGGCCATCTTTCCTTGAATTTCACAAGGGAATGTTCTTTAATTAGTTTTGTCACTACCGATGTTGTCAGGTCCAAAAAGTATTTAGTTGGCTGCTTTTTCTTGGCCAGTGAATCAGCGTAGCCGTTGATCCATCTTAAGATGATCAAATTGTTGAGCCATAGTTGTGACGAGAAGGAAAAGGGTATTTAGATAAAATTTTAAAAGTATGGGTCTCAATGCCGTTGCTTGGGGCACCCCATAAGTAATTATTTTGCCGCTATTTAAAAAAAATCATCTGTTTTCACTTTTTTATATAAATCTGGTTACACAGATACGGAAATTTAAACGCTGACCATCTTAGCCAAATTTATGAGAGACGATCGTAAGTGGCAGTAAGGTAAGAGTCGTACGTACCATGCGCCAGGCGTTCCGCGCTGCTCAGTGGTCTTTGTTTTACGCGTGGTCTTATTATATGTTGTGTAATTCATTGTAAAATAGAGGGTCGTTTAGATTTCCGTATCACTATACTGTGAAATACCCTAGTAGTAATTTTAAAATATGGATGTAATGAAGTGTGCCATTTTTTATTGTATCATCCCATACTTTTAAAAAAGTTTTTTAAAATAAATGTTGTAAAATATTGTACTTTTCCTTATTTTTAAAGGATTGAAGTGAAAAAATAAACGTTGGTTCACAAATACTTCCTTCAAAGTATTTTTAAATGAAAAGCTAGGGGCTATGTGGACCAGACATACTCAGTAAATGAAACGAAATTGTCAGAAATTACGGAAGTGAGTCGTGTATTTTATCAAATAGAGAGGCAGCTTAAATGCAGTAGAAATAAGATTCTTGAGAAAAATAGAAGAGAAGACGAGAACAAAATATAGGGAGAAAACTTGAACCGGTGTTCACATAACTAGATTCTTTTTTATTTTTTTTTCAATTGTTCCAAAATATGTTTTGCTTTTACGTCTCCATACGTACTGTAGTAGATATTCTACTAAATAGAATTACGATTTTAGGGGTCTGTTCTATAAATAACTGGTTAAAATTAACCCTGGGTTATAAAAATAACCGAATGATATTTTTAATTTTGTATTCTGTATTATTTTAGTTAAAATTATAACTTATGTTAATCATGATTATATGTCAAATATATTCTTTTTCTTATTTTCAAAGCTGCGTTGAGCCTAATTTCAATTCACTTTCAGTCGTTGCCACATCAATTTTAACTGCGTTTGTCTATAAAATAGCTAATAACACAAAATTAAATTGGTGGATGGTGGAATATCGAATAGAGTTAGGTTAAAATGTAAACGTCATAGTTATAAATAACCTTTTAACCTAAAGGGTAAAAATTAACTAAAACGGTACAGAATAGACCCCTAATACTATTAAATTTATACACTCAAAGATTTATATATTTATATATGATTTATTGGAACGTTGTTCGAGCAGTAAAAGCATATAAAAACTCTTCGGGCAAACTGTCAACGAGGTTTAAATTTAATGAGATCTGCAGCCCATAGATAATGGGGAGCGGAAACAATTTAATTGAACTTATACAATACAGTAAATTCGATTTAAAATGGATTATGACAGTATTGTTTAACTACAAAGAAGACACTACTTCAGTAACTAGAAACCATCCGCAATAGCGCAGTTCCAATTTGCCTTAGGAGCATTTTACACAAGCTCAAGAGCTGCTACTTCTAATTCTGAAAATCCAGTTAATAACTATATCTTTACTAATATCATTCTCTAGTTATTTAAAGAGAAAGAATCCACTTCCCTTTTTGACCACGCCTAAACCAGTATCCAACTAACCTTAATCTAAACTTTCCACTTGCAAACTTCCGTCCACAGCTTCTATCTACACCGCCGAACTTACAGCAGTACTCTATGGTTAAGTATAAAATGAATGGAATGATCTTATCGCCTTCGACAGCAACCTAAATGGATCTTTTGTGGCTCACTCTATGGTCTAAAATATATAAATGAGATAGAACCCCCAAAATCTATAATTAAATTACTGATTCTCTACAACGGAGATGCATGCGTGAAAGAAATTTATCCCAGTTACCCAGTTCTATTATACATAAATACGGAATTTCATAACAAAACCCAAAAAAGTATCACACTTTGAGGTCTATGGGTACCAATAATAGGATTAGAAGGAAACAAGAGAGCAGCTATATCAAGTCGTTTATTAGTGAACATCGAGACAATGCACTTATTAGATCTAAAAAAGGTCGTCCAAAGTGAGTGGCAATCAGAGTAAAACCGGTTAACTTGGAAAACTTCGATGTTGCCATGGAAATTACTGCCTTTTAACCATTTGAATCAGATTGTTTTATCGCGCCTGAGATTGAGACATAATGTAGCAAGGCACAAATTATTCTGCTTTACATTATTATTATTATTATTATATGTAATACTTATCCTAATCGAGTATCCGCTATATAAATTAGAACGAAAAAACAACAATCTCCAAAATAACACGAGTACTTTACTTCAGGACAACAGTGTTCTTAACAATTTAGTTCATTTTTTAAAAAACATCAGATATATTATTACATCTCTCAGAGGTTAATAAAGTACTGTAAATAAGTACAGTATTTTTAGTTCTTTTGTTTTAATTGGTGAAAGATAAAAATTATTAATCTTTCAATTTACGGCGTTCTTTTCCATAACACCTTGTAGATGACTAAAAGTTTCATCTATTTAATATCACCCTCTGAGGACAAACTACCGTTTCCGTAATTTACGAACCGTTTGCCAAAACTTTAGTTATAAAATGACTATTCACAAACTTACCCAAAAGTTTCGATTGGACCGCCATGTTCGAATTGTACCCTGCGACTTGCTCATCAGAGACATTCTCAGACAATTTATTTTGGGAAGGCACTAAGTTATTAGTTATCACAGGATTCGTTAAGATCTTCTCGCCATCATCTAATCGTGACCGTTCGACATCGACTTCGACTAGCCCGCCAGATCTAACGTTCGTTTGACAGCCGCCGACTTGCCCTACAACGACTTCTCTCGAGACTTGTTGTCGGGCGACTTCGGACGGCGTTCGGTTGTTCGCAATCGTTCGGGCGACTTCGACTTCCGTTTTGGGACAGCTTCGGCAGGTGGTTTGTGCGTGTAAAACATCTTTGTGGACTTTTGTTGGTTCCGATATCATTCGTTTGCCATCGTTAGGAGATTCTGTTAGCGATCGCGTGAATTCTTCTTGAGCTCGCAGCACACCTTTGGGCGAGTACACTTTTTTGAAAGGGGTGGGGAATGGTGTTGGTTTTTCCACTTCTACTGTTTTTAGATCGACTTCTACTGCTGTATGTCTGGAACAAACAAATATAAATTAAGAATCGGTTTATACTGTCAAAAAAACTATCGGTTGATGCTCCAAAAACAAAGTTGATAATTATTTAAAAAATTCCCAAATACATTTTTCGAAATTACTCCCGAAAACTACTTATTGAATTGTCAAAGTAAAAACAAATTTATTGAAAAATTCAAAGGAAAAATTGGGAAGGACACAAATTTAAACCATACTCCGATGAAATATTTTATTTGTGAATTGTTTTTCAAGATTACAATATTTTAAAGTTTGGGGTCATGAAAGTGTATATTGGACCTTGGCATTTAGGTCACGTTTTACCTATTTCCACAGAAAATAAAGACATGGTGGATGGAAATGGATAGAGAGAGAAGAGAGAATATGCGTTTATTGTCTAAGATAAAATCTTGTTGACAAACAAATAAATATACAATACATTAGAAGTTAACTCTAATACACATATACATAAAAATACAGATATAAACATTACATAATAAAAATATATAGTTTTTCAGGTATCGCTTTAAATAGATATGAAAGAAATTATCAAGGTAAGTCGTCGTTAAAATATTTTGTTAAGTCATAGTATGCTTTGCAAACTAATCGTTCCTAAAGTAGGGTAGATTTAGAAGTTAACAGGTATAAATTGGTTGCATTTCGTCCTGTACGATTATTGTTGTTGTTGTTGTTGTTTTTGTTGTTGTTGTTGTTGTTGTTTTTGTTGTTGTTGTTGTTGTTGTTGTTGTTATTGTTGTTGTTGTTGTTGTTGTTGTTGTTGTTGTTGTTGTTGTTGTTGTTGTTGTTGTTGTTGTTGTTGTTGTTGTTGTAAGCAGATCTGTTCTTATATATTAAGCAAATAGTCTCTAACAGATATAAAGAGGTTAAAATTAATATTTTGTGTTTGAGGAAAAGTGGTTTGCAAGAACAAAGGCTGACGCAGATTACGTACAGCACGTTTTTGAAGTAAAAATACACTATGGAAGAGCTCCTTGCTGCAGGAGCCCCAAAACTGAATTCCATATCTTAGATTAGATTCTATGTGCAAAATAAACATTCCTTGCTGAAGTGAATTCTAGCTCTTTTCATGTAGATCTGAGAGCAAAACAGCCAGATTATATATTTTTATTTAAAATTTCAATATAACTCTTAAATTTAAAGTCGGTATCTATATTGAGCCCAAGAAATTTAATTCTATTATCTACTTGTAGTAAATCGCTTCCTAAATGTAGCTCTGGAAGTAAACATTTAAAGGTTAATAATTTAGATTTGGAGATATTTAGACTAAGACAATTTGAATCACACCATAATTTAATTTTCTGGATATCGGATGCAACAATATGGTGTAGAGTATCCACATCCTTGCAATGCCATAAGACAGTAGCGTTGTCTGCAAAAAGACTGAAGTTTCCAGAAATGTCAAGGAGTAATAAATCATTAATGTAGATTAGGAAAAGGTAGGAATCTAACACCGACCCTTGGGGTACACCCCAGGTTACATTCATTATGCTGGAAGAGTGAATAGTTCTAACTAGTCGATTCCTTTCTTCAAGGTATGATTCAATCCACTTCAGAGCCCCATCTCTGACTCCATAACAGGAAAGTTTTTGCAGCAGTACTCCGTGATTTACACAATCGAATGCTTTAGTTAGATCACAGAATATCGTTGCCACCTTCTCACCTATGTTAATATTATTGTAGATTCTCTCTAAGCAATTAAATATGGCATCTGAAGTATTAATTTTACTGCTTATTATGTTGTAGGAGCTTAAAAACAGAAATGGGTCTAAAGTTGAAAGGATCTTCCTTATTACAGCTTTTATGGATGGGTACAATGCTGTTTTTTAAGAAATTTAGAAATATTCCGTCATGAAAGCTATTATTAAGCAAGTACCTAGGCTTTAAGGGCCCGTTAAAGAAATTCTTTATTTTGTTTTTTAATTAATTGGATTTTAAAGATTGTTTAAGAGATATTTAATAAAACATTATAAAACCATGTTAACAAGTATTTTGTGAACTGCCTATAAAGGGTGTTATAGTATAAGGGTGATAAATCATTTAAAAACACTAATTTTGAAGGTAATTCGTTTAACTTCTAACAATAGAATATTTTTATAGTTTTAATAAGCTCTAAGTTCTGTTGTCGTTAGTTTGTTGTGTAGATAACTGACATTGACAAGATGATTGTTTTTAAAGAAACATAAAACAAATTTCTGTAAATAGATTGCTATCAATATTAGTAATTCTTTTTATTTGAACTTGTCTCTACATGAGTCTCGTACATTTAGGCCTGCCATCATCTAAATTGCCGACGCCGGACAAACACCTGAAACCCCCCTGACATTTGACTAAAATTGTTTTTTCCCGTACATCCTTAAAATTTTGTTTACAACAAAAATAAACAAAATTTTTATTTTTATATAAATTTATTTGCAATTTATTTAACGATATTTGGAAAAATTGGCATAAAAAGAGCAAGGTGGCTTTCTATGAGGTACTTTAGCCGCACGCGCCAATTTATTGCTCACACTAGCTAACAAAATTACACTTTTTGACTGATGAATGACTTATGTCACATGACTTTTACTAATTTTAAGTCGCTGATTCTAATTATACCCCCACTTTTTTCTGACAGCTCTTGTTTACGAGTTATAGCTTTCACTAAAAATTCGCTATATTATGTTTATTTGCAGTTTATTTAATAATAATTATTGAATTATACATATTTAATTTTATTTGGAAATACCATTAATTTATAATCCTCTTTAACGACCCCTCTGTTGTACGACCGCGGACACCCCCTGTAGTTTCTTAGAACATACTTATAAAAGTAAAAGTACCTTTAATGACCGGTAAAACCCAATTTCAGAATTCTTAAGAAATGTTCTTTTGTTATTTTAGGGGAAGGTTTAGTAAGACAATTGTGAAATTATCTTTCTTGTTTGAATTACTGTTTTATATTGTAATTTGATATGGCATCGTCAAGAAGAGTATATGTGCATGATTCAAAGAATTTTTGTTTCATTTGCGGAGAGAATGTTTAAAGAATACCGTATAAATGTGTAATGTGACAACGTTCGTAAATGAGGCTTACAAAAATTACTTTGGGCACCCGCTGGAAATGAAAAATAAGCCTTGGATTCCGCAAAAGGTATGCAAAACATGCGTTGAGTTCCTACGTTTATGGATAAATAAGAAAAGACATAGCTTCAGGTACAAAACCGCTATGATTTGGAATGAAACCATGAACCAGCATGACGATTGTTATTTTTGTTTGGTGAACATAACTGGTATTAACCGAAAAAATCGAGCCAAATGGGAATATCCTTCCATACAATCGGCACATAGACGTGTCCCAAGCCCTAAGTCTACACCTTAACCTCAATTTGGTACTTTACAGGAAGAGCCAGAAGATTTTGAGACGAAAAACGACAATAGTGATAGTGACTTTAAGGAACGCCAAAACCATTCAATCAAGATGATTTAAAAGACTTAATTAGAGACCTGGGACTGTCAAAGTCAGCTTCAGAAATTTTGGATTCAAGGCTAAAAGAAAGAAAATTCGTAACGAAAGAATCTAAAATTTCTTATTAACGCACAGAATTTACTCAAATATTTTGCTGAATAAGACAATTTCGTATTTTGTAAAGATGTACCTGGATTGATGGCTGCAATGGAATTACAAAATTATGTTTCTAGAGAGTGGCGTTTATTCATAGACTCGTCAAAACGGAGTCTAAAATGTTTTCTCTTACACAATGGGAATAAATTAGGGTCGTTGCCTATTGCACATTCTACAAAAGTAAAAGAAGAATATAAAATTATTGATCTGGTTTTGGACAAAATTAAATATGTGGAAAATAACTGGATCATATATGTTGATTTAAAAATGGTCAACTTTCTATTAGGCCAGCAAGATGGTTACACAAAGTATCCTTATTTTCTTTGCTTGTCGGATAGTAGAGCTAAAAATCAACATTGGTTTAAAAAGGATTGGCCTACTCGGAAAGATCTAGTTCCTGGACAACAAAACGTGATAAACCCACCTTTAGTGTCAAGAAATCGTATAATTAGGACTTATAAAACAGTTTGTCAGAAGTCTTAACAAAACTGGAAATTGTTTTCTATTTCTATCAAAAAAATTCCCGGAACTGCGTGTAGAAAAGATAAAAGCGGTCATTTTCGAAGGGCCACAGATAAGATCATTAATAAAAGACACAAAATTTACGGACACTATGACAGAAATTGAGAAAAACGCATAGAATGAGTTTGTTTGGCTTGTTCAAAATTTTTTGAGAAATAAGAATAGTTCTAACTATTCTCAACACGTTGAACAACTAATGAGTCACTTTCAAACCCTTGGATGTAACATGCGCATCAAGTTGCACTTTCTTTACAACCACTTATATTATTTTCCCGCTAATCTTGGGGATCTAAGTGAAGAACAAGGCTACTGGAACGCACACATGATGGCTGACTATTGTTGGAGCATTCAGAACAGTTCTATGGGTTCAACCTCTGCAGAGAAATCTTATAAAAGATAGTTTTTTTCACCTTAAGAACTAAATAAAATATGATTAACTTCAAACAAATTGTGTTTTACTATGAAACGGCCATGTGTCATATTTTCTAAACTAGAGCTAATACAAAAATATGAAGTCTTCATTAAAAATTAAACCAGTGTCATGTTATATAACTAAATCATCAGAAATGCTGTTATGCAGTGTTATCATCCAATTAATAGAGTTCTTTTATAACATGTGTAAGTATGCTAACTCTTGCCGTTCTTATTTAAATTGTAACAAATCTACTATAATTTTTTAAAGTGCAACTAAAAAATATAATTCCGTATGTCATAATTTCAGTGAAAAAGGTATACACGGCAATAGCGGTAACCGCTGTACATAGAGCTTAACTTAAAACTAGGAAAAAATTAATTGGTATGACAACACTGAAGTGTCGTTTAGCCACTTGCACAGCACGGGAAATTAATTTGAATCTCGA